CTCTTGATGAAAGTGAAAGAGGAGAGTGAAAAAGTTGGCTTAAAGCTCAACATTCAGAAAACTAAGATCATGGCATCTGGTCCCATCACTTCATGGCAAATAGATGGGGAAATAGTGGAAGCAGTGTCAGACTTTATTTTTGGGGGCTCCAAAATCACTGCAGATGATAATTGCAGCCGTGAAATTAAAAGACACTTACTCCTTGGAAGGAAAGTTATGACCAACCTAGATAGCATACTAAAAAGCAGAGACATTACTTTCCCAACAAAGGTCCATCTAGTTAAGGCTATGGTTTTTCCAGTGGTCATGTATGGATGTGAGAGCTGGACTATAAAGAAAGCTGAATGCTGAAAAATTGATGCTTTTCAATTGTGGTGTTGGAGAAGACTCTGAGAGTCCCTTGAAATGCAAGGAGATCCAACCAGTCCATCCTGAGGGAGATCGTCCTGGGTTTTCATTGGAAGGACTGATGCTGCAGCTGAAACTCTAATACTTTGGCCACCTCATGCGAAGAGTTGACTCACTGGAAAAGACCCTGATGCTAGGAGGGATTGCTGGCAGGAGGAGAAGGGGACGACAGAGGATGAGATGGCTGGATGGCACCACCGACTCGATGGACATGAGTTTGAGTAAACTCTGGGAGTTGGTGATGGACAGGAAGGCCTAGCGTGCTGTGATTCATGGGGTCGCAAAGAGTCGGACACAACTGAGAGACTGAACTGAACTGAACTGAAAGATGAGATGACAGGCCTGTAGATGCACCTGTGGCCTCTGACCTGTGAGCAGCATTCTCACTTGCATGACAAACTGAAGCAGCAGCCTGGATTTCTAGAAATATAAGCAATTTTCATTTAAATGAATTGTCTCTAGAGACCCTGGGTAGATACCACAAATGAGATGCTCATAAATTTTCTTAGCAAATCCTTAACCCTCATTTTCACTGATACCATTATTTTTGTATGAATAAGAAAGAGTAAGTAAAGAGATCTGAGGGTAGAAATTTTTTAAAGAAAGAAAAGCGTTATTTGCTCTGTTTGGCTTCAAGATAAAGCTAATATGCAGCATGCCAAAGGTTAACCAAAATAATCTGGAATCCAAAGAATAAATATGAAAATTAAAATAACACTGAGACATAAAGATCTGAAGGATAATGGGTACCCACAGTTACTATGCAGGTGTTCCACAGACAAAGACAAAGATGTCTTTCTGTTCCTGCTATCTAAACCTAGAGGCTTCAACCTTTAAGCCTGATACAGAACTACATTATAAGCTGTAATGATTTCATTTTCTCTATCCTGTGAGATATTAGAAATGTCCAAATTATGGTCAGACTGCAAAACTAAAAGTAAAAAAAAATGCACAGAATTGCTTGTGGGTGTCATTAAAGAAAGTGAATAGACGATTAGAAGAGTGATATCACAATGAGGAACCTCACAAGGAGACTGGCATCATTACATGATGTCAACTGTTTAACCAATTGAATTACTTAATTCTGATTTCCTTTACCTATTTATTCCTTAATCCACCATTACTGAAATTAGAAGATTTAAAATCATGCTCCTAATGAGGAAAATTGTATCTCTCAACAACAACAATAAAATATACTAGACTCAACAGAGACACCAAAATTCCTCACAGAGAGTCACAAAACAAGAAGACAGAATCTGTCATTGTGCTTACTTAACACTGCATAGTTTATCATACAAAACAGGACACTACTGAAAGTGAAAGGGGACGCTATTAAAAATTAACACTAGGAAAGGATGCAGAGCAACAGGAACTCTCATTTACTGCTGATAGAAATGCAAAATGTTAATAGCCACTTCAGATAGTTTGGCAGTTTCTTATCAAGTTAGACATATATCCACCACATAACCAACTCAGCAGTCACATTTCTAGTTATTTTCCCAAGTGAAATGAAAACATGTTCATGCAAAAATCTGTATGTAAGTTTTTACAACAGCTTTATTCATAACACTAAAAACTGGAAGCAACCAAGATACTGTTTAACAGGGTAATGGACAAACAAACTGTGAGACATCCATACAATGTAATACTATTCATTGATAAAAAGGAACAAGCTAGTGATTCAGACAAGATGGATATAACTTAAATGTCTTCCTAAGTGAAAAAAGGCAGACCTGAAAGGTTACATATTATGCAATTCTCTTCATATGACATTCTACAAAAGGTGAAACTAAAAGTACAGAAAAATAAGTAAATGGTTGTGAGGGACTGGGGGAATGGACAGCAGTTACTAAAGGGGACACATGGAAATTTTTAGGGTGGAGGGAATATTCTGGAGAGGTAGATAACCTGATACTATGTATCTGGTAAAGCACAAAGAACCTTACAACACAAAAAGTAAACTTTAATATATGCACATTAAAAAAAAATCAACCAAGAGGTTGGGGACCTCAAGATGGAATGCAGACATAATCTCACTGAAAAGGGTACAAGAAAAAAAAAAAGGAGCTGACTTAAAATTACTTTGGAAAATCATGTTTTGATTGGAAACAGTAAGGGTAGAAGAAAAAGGAACTGTACGTGAACAGTTTTCTAGTTGGCAGGTTGTTTCTTATAGTGATAGAAGTTAACATTTCTGAAACTGCTTTACCTGTATGCCACAGCTGAAGAAATAAGGAGATGGATGATAGACGGTGGAAGCCAGGCCAAAAAGTTCAGATAAACAAAAGGGGAAAGCTAAAACAATTCTATGGTATGGGATTAGTTAGCATTATCACTATGAACTGATGTCTAGCTTAATATACATACAGATGAAAAGATACAGAAATAACTAAAGGTGTGAGATATATATATATATATATATATAAGAATTAGTATATATACATGTATTTCCTTGCTCTGTCTGTTGAGAAGGCCTAGAAACAGTGACATTCCAGTAGCAATGAGCATATTCATTGCCCAGATATTGGTTTATAAATACCACTAACCATGGAACCAGGGCTTCTTGGAGAAATGGTTGATTCTAGGACTAGGGCAGAGAAAATACAAGATGAGCCCACAGCATCCTGCAGTGCCA